CGAGGCTCCGGGACCCAGGAGCCAGGCACCGGGTGGGCGGTCCCTCCCCGGCCAGGCCCCGCCCCGCGCCGCCCCGCCCCGCGCCACTCTCTGGCGCCCATAGCGACCCAGCCCCACCTGCGCTCCGCCCCTCACTCGCCACGCATGCCCAAGCCGCGGTCACGCATGCGCAGCTACCTCCGCTCGGCCCGCCCTTGCCGCCATGGAGCGCATCGAGGGCGCGGCTGTGGGCCCCTGCCCCAGTTCCGTGTACCTGTGTCCGCTCCGGCTGCACTACCGCCAGGTGAGAGCCCTCCCGCCGCGCCACCTCGGCCGTGCTGCCTTGCTGCCCGCGGACCCCGCCCAAGGCCCCGCCCCTTCCGCGCTCCACCGCGAGGCCCCGCCCCTCTAGCGCCTTCGCCCCGGGAGCTCCCCGCCCCCGCCCGCCTTTGCAGGCCCCGCCCTCCTGGGCCCCGGCCCCCGCTCGGGGCTTAAGCACCACCTCCGTGCCCTGTCGCGGAATCCCAGACTCTAGGGTCCCGGGCTGGGCGGGGAGGTTGGAGGAGCACCGTACCTTCAGGGAGCGCCGCTGGTCTCGTGTTTTTCGGGCCCACCCCTGTCCTCCTTTGCGTCTGGACTCGTTGGTTGGTCCGGGGATCGCAGAAGTGGTAGCCCACCTGCTCAGCCTTGGAGTCCGAGATAGATGGGTAGAAGGGAGGCGGCGGAAGAGGGCGCCTCTCAAGGTGGGCTTCCTTCGGAGGGGCGCTGGGGAAGGCACCGTCACTGCTCAGCGCGGAACGGCCCGGGGACAGCCTGTGCTTAGCATGGGGCACACAGTAGGCTCACGGAAATACTGTGCTTCCTGCCCGGGCCACCTTCCCCCACCCCTGCCGTTGTCCTCGCCTCTTTATGCCAGCTCGTGGCCAGCAGCTGCTTCCTCCAGGCCACGCAGGAGAACTCCCTTCCTGCCTCTACAGCACAGCCCCCGGAACCCCAGCTGGTCCGGCTCTGGTGCCCCGTCTGCCCTGGGAAAAACCCACCGCTACCTGTCACCTCACTAGGCGTGCCTTCCCTGCCGCAGTGGTCCTACTGCGTGCTTCTGAGGACAGGGCACTGAGGGCAGTGTGAGCCCAGGGGCGTGGAGGGGACCAGCTGGGGGACAGAGGGTGGAGATGAGAGTGGAAGCCATTTCCTTTTCACTGGGCCAGGGCCCGGAACCTGGCGGCATGGGATGGCTGATACCGGTGGGCAGGTGGGCAGGTGTGCAGGTGGGCTGGTGAGCCAGACAGGGCCTGTGGGAGGGGGTCCGCTGCTCCTTCCACCTCCCAGATGGCTACCAGGAACACTGGACAGGACAGGGTTTGCCATTGGGGCGCAGCTGCACCCGTTGGCTGCTTGTGCTGCCTGACCTAGGGAGGCCTGGTGGTGGGCATGTGGACAAGTGCAGGGGATCTTTGTGGCCTTGAGCAGCAGGGGCAGATGCACCTTGGCCTGTCCCTGCCTTCCAAGGCCTCTGTGGGTCTTGGTGGACCCCGCCCTGCGCCTCTGACAAAGTTTTGATTTTGAGCTGAGAGGGTCCTTGAAGCCTACCTGGGCAACCGTGACCTAGGGCAGGCCCAGCCTTCTGAGGTAGGATTCAAGGGCCTCCCCTGGAGTGGCCCAGTGGGTGGCGGCCTCCCTGGGTGGCAAGACAGCAGGCAGGCCCAGGCTCGCCTCTCAGGGTGGTGCTGCAACGGCCTCTCAGACAGCTGGACCTGGCAGGCCGTTGCCCCCCACCTTGGAAACCAGGACGCCTCTGCCTCTGGCCAAACTTGGGCCAACCACCTCTGGGCCTCGCCCACCAGGCTCCAGCCTGGATCCCCTTCCCCACTCAGCGTCACCTCCAGGAAGTCCTCAGGGACTGCTCCTGAGTGGCAAGGTAGGCCATGCTCACTGGGGATGGGTGCCATGACAGGGTCCAAGTCCAGCGCCATCTACTGAGACCCCTGGGAGGAGTGGCCACCACCTCCGGTCCAGGTGGAGCCCATCCTGCTCAGTGGCATCTAGCCAGCAGGGTGCTGGCTCCTCATACCTAGAGCCTTGTTGCTGTTACCCTGGCTCCTCCATGGGCCCAGCCCGACCCCAGCCCCTCATGTCACTGAGTGCTGTTGGACACTGGGAATGCGACCACAGGAAGTGTGAGGTCAGCCCTGGCCAGGACTATGGTTGGCAAACCTTGCATCGTGACCCAGGCCAGCTCCCCCTGGTGCTGGTGTCACTCAGGAGGCTGGCCGATCCTCCCTGCCTGCCTGTGTGCCTTGTCCAGGGGCCCATGTATGCTTTAGTGGTGAGCTTGACTTTGCCCACTTGGGACCCTTTCTGGTATGCCCCTGAGGCCATCACTATACTTTCCCTCCCTGTGCCCACCATGGTCCTTCCCATAATTGGTGACAGCATGCATCTCTGTGCAGCTCTGTGCTCATGGGTCCTTCTTGCCTTTGCCCAGGCTCTCTGTCCCCTCACTGGGTACACCTTAGCCTGCATGCCAAGCTCCTGAGGGGAGCTCCTGATGGGCAGCGGATCTGTCTGGGCTCTGCCATGCTGGCAATGCTGCAACTTGCTGACTGCCACTCTGCCTCTTTCAGAATGGTGTCCAGAAGTCCTGGGACTTCATGAAGACGCATGACAGGTGAGGGCCTGGACTGGCTGCTGGGGCCTGTGAGGACCCTGGGGCTTGGGGTTCCATTCCTGCCCTGTTTCTGCTCCTTTATGGCCCTTACTAATCCCCTCTCCAGCTAGCCACTGGTTTTCCTGTCCCAAGAGCAGGCTAAGGCCTGACAGTTACCTGCCTATAGGGCTCGAGGGGCCAGCGTGGGGCACTGGCCCCTAGCATTGGGGTGCAGCTGTGGGCAGCTGGCCATCGGGCAAGTGGCTGTCAGTTACCTGGCCTCCACTGCCTACCACCCACCCCTACTCAGTAGGCCCAGGGCCTAGCCTGGCTTTGTCCCTGGCCATCTCTGGGCCTGGCTGGTTTCATTCTCCCTGAGTAAGGGCCAAACCTTCCTGGCTGGGGGTGGGGTAAGCTGGGAATAGGGCCCCTGCTGAGTCCCCACCCTGCAGTGTGGCCATCCTCCTGTTCAACTCTTCGCGGAGGAGCCTGGTGTTGGTGAGGCAGTTCCGGCCAGGTGAGGCCCTCTGGTGGGGTGGGGGAGGCCAAGGGTCCGAAAGTAAACGTGGGGAGGGGCCCCAGGGGCAATAGGCCTTGTGAGGGCTATGGCCCTGAGCAGGTCGCTGGGAGGCGACTCCCACGTGGCTGTGTTCCCCATCCAGCTGTGTATGCAGGTGAGGTGGAGCGCCGCTTCCCGGGGTCCCTGGCAGCTGTGGCCCAGGACGGTCCCCCAGAGCTGCTGCCCGCCCTGCCTGGCTCTGCGGGTGTGACAGTGGAGCTGTGCGCTGGCCTCATGGACCAGCCTGGGCTCTCAATGGAGCAGGTGGCCTGCAAGGAGGCCTGGGAGGAGTGCGGTTACTGCCTGGCCCCCTCTGACCTGCGGCGGGTCGCCACATACAGGTGAGCAGTGGCCCAGGTGGGACAGGTGGGGTGGGAGTGAGTGCCCTGTCGTGCAAGCAGAATGTCCTCCTTATCTTTCAGCGTGGCGTGGGAGGGCGGGCCTGAGTTGCTTCTGACAGCCAGCCAAGAGCCCAGGTCCTAGGCTCCTCCTGGGTACACTTGCCTGTGTCCCCACCCTGCAGCCCAGCGTGTGGGGCCCAGCTCAGTGACAGCTGCTGCCGACAGATGCCTCCACTTCCTGTGGGATTAAGCACTGGGCGCTGGGGGTGGGGTGAGTCACAGCACTGTCCTCAGGAGAGGCATAGGGGCAGCCTAGCCTGGTGCCTGTCCCCACCAACACCTGGATGACCCCTCTCAGCCTCCATGGGTCCCACCAACTGGGTCCACCCTCTCAGAACAGGATATTTGGGTGAAGCCATGCCCTGCCCTGGAGACACTGAGGGGGGTCTCCAACCCCAACTGAGGTCTTCCAGGGCCACCCCTAGCCAAGCTGAGCACCACACTTTGCAACCTTTTCAAGGCCAGGGCCACTCCACCCTCCCTTGTTAGGCCTGGGGCTTTCTTGTCTCAGCCTCCAAGAGTCCTCACTGGGGCTCCTGGTGGGGCTCCCCCTGAAGGCAGGCTTCCAGGCCCACAGGCTGGCCATGTGGAGGACAAGGACTGGCCTAGTTATCTGCAGATTTCTTTTTTGTTTTTTTTGTTTTTTTTTTTTTTTGGTTTTTCTCCGGTACCAGGAACCGAACTCACGACCTTGCGCTTGCCAGGCAGGCGCTTTGCCGCTGAGTTAAATCCCCAGCCCCATCTGCAGATTTCTTGATGACCCAGCTGAGGTCCTGAACTGGGACTGGGCCAGTGGGAGGGGAAGGCAGGGGCTGCTGGAGGAGGTGTTGTGCCTGCACACCTGGACAGGCGTCCCTGGCTGCAGGGTTCCTTAGCAGAGCTTTGAGCCGAGGGGACTCAGTGGGGAGCACCTGCCCAGTGCACACTCTGAAGAGAGGGCTGTGGCTGTGTGCGGCTGGGCTGGGCTGGGCGGGGGACATCCCTGCATTCTCACAGGCAAGACAAGTAGCACAGTCCCAGGGCTCCCTGTCTATGGCCCTGGAGAGCATGTGGAGAGAGGGCAAGGAAGCAGCTGGGGCGGCCTGGGTGCCCGTCTTCCATATCTGATCCCCGCTGTCAGGTGCATCTCTGAGGCTCTCATCCTGCATCCCTCGGGCCAGATCCCCTTCTGCCACCCTATGCCCACACAGTCACCTTTTCTGTCCCTGTGCATTGCCAGTCTGGGCCACTCCCCACCAAGAAAGAGATCCTCTCTCACCCTCTGCAGCTGCCAGTTCACCATGCAGCCATGCAGCTGACCCATTCCACTGCCTGGTTTGCTTGGCACACAGTCCTGAGGTGCCCTGCTTCCCACAGCGGGTGCCCGTGTTGGGGGTCCACTGAGCAGGGGTGCACAAGCAGGTACCTGCAGAGCAGCCTGCCATGGGCAGGGGCTTGGGGAGTGCCTGGTGTGCCTCTGGTTTCTGTGCATCTGGGGTCTGTATGCAGGGGGCTCAGCTTCTGACGAAGGTCTCACCAGACTGCAGCCAGGGCTGCGTATCTGCCTGGGGGCTTCTTCGCAGCCCGTGCAGCGGCCGTGGCACTCTGCTGTGGTCCCCTGGTGTCAGAGGCGCCGTTTCCTCCTTGACTGTTAGCTGGGGGCCACTCGCAGCTCTTTGCCTGCTTGTAAGCCCTGCCCCATGTCCTCTGATGTGTCAGGTGCTCCATCTCAGGCAGCAGGAGAGTGTCTGACTCCCTCCATCTCTGACCTTGAAACCCCTTCCCTTGAGCACCTGCCAGAGAAGGCCAGGCCCACCTGGGATGAACTCAAGTCAGTCATCAGGGCCCTGAATTCCATCTGTAAAACCCTCCTGCCTCTGCGTACAACAGCTAATCACAGACGACATACTCGGCGTGGCCTAGGTCCCCCTTACCCAGGGTGGGCCACACAGGAGTGGTGGGGCCACCTTGTGGCTCAGCAGGCCCATCCCACCCTACAGGTCCGGCGTGGGACTGACAGGTTCCAGCCAGACCATGTTCTACGCGGAGGTGACAGATGCCCAGCGAGGCGGACCAGGTGGGGGCCTGGCAGAGGAGGGCGAACTCATCGAGGTTGTGCACCTGCCCCTGGATGGCGCCCAGGCCTTCGCAGACAACCCCAACATCCCCAAGACCCTCGGTGTCATCTTTGGCATCTCATGGTTCCTCAGCCAGGTGGCCCCCAGCCTTGGTCTGTAGTGAGACTTGGGCTCTGAACTGGGCTCTGGACTGAGGCAGCTCCAGGCTTGGCCCTGCCCTGTGGACCAATAAAGCCATGTACTTTAGCTGACGGCACCATGCAGAGCTCTAACCTGGGCAGCTTGGAAGGAGAAGGGGAGGGCTGGCTACTGGTGAAGGCCCCTTGTTGCCCTGTGGTGGGCCTGCAGGGGGCCAGTGGATGGCTAACTGGGGATGGGGACAGGCTGGCCTAAGGCTACAGGAGGGGCTGCTGGGGCAGGGGGAAGAGTGTACAGCCCCAGGATCTGGCTCCTTGGTCAGTATGTCCAGGGTGAACCATGTCCATGGGTGTGGGGTGGAGCCAGCTCTAGTCTTCACAGCACACACTTCCTGCTCCTGGCTAGGTGGGCGATTCTGTCCAGCCTACTGCTGCGCTTGGACCACTTCTGTGTGCCCCCTGAGCTGGGGTCTGTGAGTGGGTCTCCCTGGACCTTGGGGCATGAGCAGTGCGTGTAGGCCATTCCTCACTGGGACCTGGACCGCAGTGTCCTTGGCACAAGCAGCCTGGCCCAAGGTGCTAGCCCTGTGCCCTGCTGGCCTTGAGTGCTGGTACCCAGAGGGCCTGGAGTGCCAGGAGAGCAGTCACCCCCTGGCCAGCTGTGTGAGCCCTGCTTATGGGATAGGTGTGTGGATCCAGCTTCTGCTCCGAGGGCCTGCTGGGCAGTCTGTCTGGGGGTGACCCTTTCCGACGGTGGCTACCTGGCTGGCTGGTTCTTGCCCAGAGCCTCAGCCCTGGTCAGCTTCTTGGGCAATGCTGGGGGCCTGGGAGGGGCAGCCCAGGTTCAGGGGATGGGATCAGGGGACCAGTAGCTTGCTCCATCAGGACTGCCTGCTCTGAAGCTCTGCAGTCCCCATGGTGGACCAAACGAAGGACTGCCTTCCCACAGGTGCTCTGCGTGTCCGAGCATGAAAGGTCCCTGACTACCCTCGTGCTGGCCTGGGCAGCAGCCTGGGAACTCTAAGAACAATGTTACTGGACCCTGTGTGGCCTGGCCCAGGCAGGGACCCCCTTGGGCAGTACCACCTGTATGCAAATGCTGGCTGTGACCTAGGTGGGGTCTTGTGGGATCCAGCAGGCAGGGACATGGCTGTAGGAGGGACCTTTAGGTGGGCGTGACTGTGTCCAAGGGGCTATGCAAGTTGGTAGAGGTGTCTCCCAGCAGGACAGATTTCCGGGATAGGGGCCACCTGGCCTGCCTCCTTCCATGGGAAGCCTGCCTGATGCCCATCTTAGGGGGCTCCATAGCATTTTGGGGTGACCTGCAGGTGCTGCCTGCTGCTGTGAAGGGGCACCGGTGGGCATGGGTGGGGCAAGGTTCTGGGTGGTAGGTGGGCAGAGGCAGGGACAGGGGACCTGAGCTTGGTACAGTCGAGCCCCTGCTGGCTCTGCCGCCTGATGGGCGGTCAGCAGGCACCATGCGGGGCTAATGGAGCTGGCATCGATTTCCCGGCATGGGGGGGGTTGTAACCGGAAACTCCCCTCCCTGGCTGCTATATTTAGCACTCAGGACACCAGCGGAAGCACAGCTCACTCCTGAGCCCAGCCAGCTCTGCCCTGGTCCTAGCTGCCTGTCTCCAGCCTGGTCCACAGGAGGGGCTGCAGGCCTACAGCTCCAGCTCAGGCTGAGTGGCCCCCTCTGCATGTCACCTGGCACAAGCCGAGCCCCACTCAGAGCACATGAAGCCCCCAGCAGAGAATGGCAGTGCTAGGAGGTTGAGGGTTTCCTAGCTCTGCTGTTCCCCAGGGGCCTTCAGGGTAGAGATGAAGAGGGAGGACGCCCCGCCCAGCAAGGGAGGGGGCTGAATATCCCTACACCCTGACCCCAGCTGGGTGAGACATGGATCTGTGGAGCTAGTGCTACCCACTGCCACCCTGGAAAGCCCCAGTGATTCCTGGCCTTTCTGGCCTGAGGGCTATAGAGGGGACCCCGGGAAGGAGGGGTCCTATCTGATACCTAGCCCCTCCCTGTGAGCAAGGTAGCCTGGAGTCACCTTTGGACAGATCTGATCTAGACTATGACTGCCAGGAGACTAGGGGCAGGTGGCACCCTTGGCAGAGGTGGGAAAAGACCGCTTGTGCTGTCCCGGGCACAAGGACCAGGTCTCATGCCCAAAGGGCTGGAAGGGAGGCAGGAGGGGTCTGCCCTGCTAGACCAGTATGCGCACGAGACAAGCGTTCCTCACAAGTGTGCAGTGATGGCTCCAAGCAGGACCCATGTCGACACCCTGCTGCGTGAGCTGGCCAGCAGTAGGAATCTGGGGGTGGGTGCAGGAGGGCTGGGGGCTGCCTGGGCTCTGTCCCACTGACATTGGAATCCCCTCCTCACCCTGCACACCAGACCCCTCTCCCCTGCCCCTGCCTGAAGCAGGGGTCCAGATCAGAATCGCCACCTTGGGCGGCTCAGCAGCCCTCTGACTTCCTGTCGGTCCTAGCAGGAAGCCTCAGTCTCACCACAGGCCTGTTCTGGTCCCTGTGTCCTTGCCATGCAGGCTTCCTTCACCGCAGGGCCTTGGCACGTGCTGTCCCCACTCCTTACCTGGTGGCCTTGACTACCCTTGGGGCACATCAGACTCCTTCTGCTTGGTTTTGCTTGCCTGCTTCAGCCTTTGGGTTTGGGGTCTGGATTGCTAAGTCCCCACCCACCATGGATAGAGGTCCCAGGGGCGGTGCCCACCTTGTTCACTACTTGGTCGAGTGCCTGGCAGGGACACCCAAGGTCTCTCTCTCCTTGGGAACCGCCCCCTCCAGGCCAGAGTGGGGAGGGGACTTGTTCACAGGGAGCCCCCACTGCAAGGAGCAGCCCCTGGATCCCCTGTACACAGCCCAACTCCTGTAAGGGGGTGTTTTGTGAGAGGCCTGGTGTGGCTTGTGTCCTGCCCAGCTCAGCCTACCCAGGGGATCAGTGGGCTAGGAACCTGAGACAGAACCAGCAGTTTGGGTCTTGGGGAACCTAGCCCACCTCTTCAAGGCTCGCTGTGACCCGAGCCTTGTCCTGGAAGCAGGGAACTGGTGTGGAGTTTTCCCAGGGTATCAGTTGCCTACATCAGGGTGCCAGGCAGGTTCGACTCAGATTCTGACTACACTGTGTACACTAAGCCCAGGGTGGGGAACGTGGTGGGGAACGCAGCTTCTGGGAGGGTGGCCCAGAAACCCTTAGCCAGTACGGGGATTTCCAACCCCTAAAGCAACACTGGCCCTGGAAAGGCCCAAGTGCAGGACAGCAGGTTGGAGAAAGCAGCCCTTGGTGTTGACCCTGTCAAGGAACAGCGAGGTCACCAAGGAGATGGCAAGGGTGTGGTGCTGAGGGGAACCTGGCAGCCCAAGGATCCTTTTGGGGCAGCCCTCTAGATGCGCACATCTAGGCTTCCTCATTTCCCGCATCCTCGACCGCGGAGTATGGACCTCTGGCCTGGGTGTTCCTCCAAGGCGTGGCCTGGCAAACCCGTCCACACCAAGAAACATTTGTGGACTGTCTGCTTGACCACCCGTGCCTCTCGGAGGGGAGAGCCGGCGTCGGAGGGCAGCAGCGCCCCCTTCAGCGAGCGGGGAAGCTGCAGGAGGCCGTGGAGCCAGAGGGTCCCGGGGGAAGGGGCGCGCAGCGGAGGCGAGCTCTGGCTCGCTCGGCAGGCGGCATCTCCGCTGGGACCAGGAGCGGCGCGGAGGAGGCGCATGAATGAGAGGTAAGAGCGGCGGCGACCTCAGGAGGCACCCCAGTCGACCCCCGCCGGGACGCGGCTGCCTCCGCCTGGCGAGGTTGAGGGCGAGGGCGAGGGCGAGGGCGAGGGCGAGGGCGAGGGCGAAGGGGCAGCCCCACGACCAGCCGCCCCGCGCCCAGGCCGCACCCTCGCCGCCTTTAAAGCCGGGACGCCCCCCCAGCCCCACCCAGTGGCGCTGCCCCGCCTCCTCATGCATATGCAGGTGCGCGGGTGACGAATGGGCGAGCGAGCTGTCAGTCTCGTCTTGAACTTGTTGGCTGCGGTGTCGGAGCGCGGGCGCGCAGAGCCGAGGCCGGGACCCGCCGCCACCTCTGCCGC